CTCGCTTAATAGGCAATGAACACCTCCATCGACGAATCTTCGATCGTGTAGCAGTAATTTGCTATTTTTCTCTATTTCTTTTTTTTTTTTTTTTTTCAAAACAAGCTAGAAAACCAACACAAGAATATTGCTGAAGGAACATAGCGACGGATAATGGGTCTCGTAAAGTCCTCGACGGATTCGATGGACGGGAGGGGGGAGAGAGGAGGGTCCGGCGTGTCAATTACCAGCGTCGTCTCTCGCAACGGTTGAATATAAAAGAGCGGAAAGCTCGAATTGGCGGTCGGAAGAGAGGAGGACGCTTTGAATCCGTAATGGGGGTTACCGATGGAAGAGGCCTCGAACGCCATTAAAACGCGCGAACAATCAACTCGTTTCGCCGCCTTTGAGGGAAACAGAGCTGTTGATATCGGCTCGCTTTGAGCCGAGAAGCTTCGTCGTATGAATTTTAATTCCGTCCGCCCGACAAATCGCGGAAAACTAATTTCGTTCCCGCTAACTCGAGAACTGTATATCTGTGTTCAATCTCAATCCCAAAGTTTTCCACGAAAGATTTCGGCCTCGATGGGAACCCCTTTAAACAACGAGTTTCGAGTTTGTTGCAAATCGAAAGTTTTCAATCGATCGATCTCGAATACACGAAACACAAATTCTTGCGAATGATTAGGAAATGAATGATGAGAGAAATATATATATATATATATAAATCTTGAATATATCCTCGAGACTTCAAAGTGGCGCTAAAATCTCTCGAAGGCTCTCGAAAAAGTTTCGCGTGACACCGAAACAAATCGTCTTCATCAGCGATCGGCTGATCCTCGCCAAACAATAACAAGAAATCGTTTTAAAAAATGGAAAAAGCGATTCTTCCTCGAAGGTAGCGTGATCTCGTGACGCGAGTCGACAGATACAGTCCGCAGAAAAACTAACAAGAGCCTGTCATAACCGCCTTTCATCGATATCCCCCTGTGTCCACAAGAGACATCGCGACCCTTTCTCCTCCCTTTCGTGACGAGCGTGAAATTTTCAAATTTCGCCGAGCGTGAAACCGTTTTGCCCCGAACAATCGAGGAACAATCGGCGGAATCGCGTGACGCGAATATCCTCACCTCAGCAGGACCAGAACTCGTCGCCTATGTTCGTTCCACGCGCGAAACTCTCGAGATCTCGTAATTATCGATCGCGTGACACCCGATCCAATCATTCTCGGGCCGAATATCGATCGATATTTAACAACCTTCAACTCCACCCTATACACATATTTTTCTTTTCTCTATCATCAACCCATACTTTTGCGCATATCAAAACATTTTTCCTCCTTTTTCCTTTTCGATTTCTCTTATATTCCTACTCGTGTTATCTGGATAGCTGTTCACGTTCAAGAAAAAGATGGAGTCTTTCTTTGTTCGAAAGACGGTTCCGGTCGCGTTAGGGCGTTAATCTCGACGCCCTAAAATCGTGAAACCGCGAATTCGTGTTCGCGCGGGGAAGCACGCGCTTTCGCCCCGGTTCCGCTTCTCCATATGTTGCGAAGCGCATTGTGCGCTGCACGCGTGTGCAGCAGGCGCGTTTCGTGATCTCGGTGGTCGGCCAGCTGCCGACCGATGCTTGCTCGCTTCTTCTTCTTCTTCTTCTTCTTCTTCTCCGCTCCGGGCGTCGTCGGTGATTTCCTCTCGGACGATTCAAAAGGGAGGAGGGGGAGAAGGGAGTTGGCGAAGAGAAGAACACCGGACATCCGAGACACATGACGGAGGAAGGAACCGCAACGCGCGATTATTCCCCCGCAACTGTTTTCTCGTGGATCACGCGATATAACACACTTGTGGTGGTGCGCTCAAAACGCGGCTTTTCAAGAAGTCGAGTTCGTTTCCATTCCATTTTTGCGAATATTTCCCCTTTTAATTTCTCTGTGATCTAAAAAGATCTTGTGGAGATAGAGTCGAGGGGATTGGAACTAGATATTGGTGTAATGTACACTCGAAGATAAAATTTTGTAGAGTTTTTTTATCGATTTTCTGAATATTTGAACCGAACTTGAATCGATGAGAGATTACAGTAATAAGATTATCAAAAAGATTATAAACTTCGTTCTTAAAACACTTCGACCCCCTATTAATTAATTTTTTTAAAAACAAGGGGGGGAGGAGGAAAGAAATGATCCAATTATCCCGCGTTAAAGGATGATCGGAATTGAAATTTCGCCAAAGGGTGTGCGTTCCCGTGGCCGGAGGAAATTTTCGAGGAAATTTTCCCAGCGTTTCCCTGGTGGGAAGGCAACGTTGAATTTCATAGGTTGACTCGTCGATGATCCTTTTGAAGGGGAATCCCCGTGTCGTCCGGCAACACGCCGCCACGACCATCCTCCTCCCCCTCCCCTCCTTCCACGGCCTCCTTCTTCGGCAAACCGAGAGAGAATAAAATATACATGAATCTCTTTTTCCGAAATATTCAAATTCTCCATTCCTCAGATCGAATAACCGCGGGAAGTGAGAGAGAGAGAGAGAGAGAGAGAGAGGGGAGGAGAGGGAGAGAGAACGGTATCGGGTCGCCGTGTTGGCCCCGAGGTGGTCTCAGGCCATGAATATCATGACTGACCAAACTCGGTTCCCATACTAGTCACGTTCTGACGATTCCCGTAAGGTGTGGTCCGCAGAGTCGGTTTCCGGAAATCAGGCTATCGGGTTTCGCGCCCGCTACGTAGCCTGGTTTCCGTTTGGAAACCGCGCTGTGTGATACATTTCAAACGAGCCTCGGTTATTAATTCCCGTGTGTCGATCATCTTGCGATCGACGAGAGACAGAGACAGAGAGACAGAGAGAGAGAGAGAGAGAGAGAGAGAGAGAGAGAGCGAGAGAGAGAGAAGGAAATATTCAACGATTATTCGAGGAAGAAACAAGCAATATTTCGAAAATATTATCGATTGGAGGATGAATTAAGAGAGAAATGATTGTGCAAAGTTTTTACACGAGTTTGGAAATTTCTCTGTTCTATTTTAATATATAGGGAGGGAGAGATTTATTAGGATAAAGAGAAAGGAGTTAGTTAGTTTTACTGGTGGATGGGCTCGTGTAACGTTGATGAATTCCAGTGACAGTGGAGAAAGGCTCTCTTCGGATCGGGCTCGTAAATCGAGGCTCGTCAATAGGGGGTTGGCTGCTTCCTTTTTTTTTTTTTTTTTTTTTTTCGAAGAGGACGGGCGCGATCGAAATGCACCTCGTTTGCCTTGTGCTCCTCGCTTCCGGCGTAACGAACGGGATCGTCGTTTCATCGAGCCACCAGGCACGACTGACGTTGATCGTCGCGCACAAAGTGTCGCGCACAAGTTGGTTATTTTCGTCAATGGCGGTCGTCGCTTAACTAACGTTCCGTTTCGTCGCCGATAACGCATCTCCTTTGGAAATTTATAATTTCCTTTTTTTTTTTTTTTCTCCTTTCTTTCCCCTTTCTTGAAAATCGTAAATAAATAACGATCGGTGTATTTCTACGATATATTGCGTATCGTACCTGTTCGAATAACTGGTATGATTGATTCCCGTTCGCGGCATTTGCAGATAACGAAACGGTGTGCAAAACGGCGGGCTGTGCGTGATCGGAAGTTCATTATCTCCGCTCCAATTTTCGTCTGTCGCGATGGGCGACAGAGGAACGATTAGTCAAGTTGGACGCGTTTACGACGTATGGAAATTTCCGATAGGAAAAAAGCGCGGAGAGAAAGAAAGAAAGAAAGAAAGAATTGGAAATCCGTTATTTTTTTTTCTCGAATCGATTACCGCTTTTCAATCGCTCCGTTGAATTGAAACGTTGAGCAAGAGATAAAGTAAGTAAGTAAGTAAGTCTCGTTTTAAATGAATTGAATCACTTTATTCCTCGAGATCGTATTCTCGCATATGCATATTTCGAATTAAACGTGAAATTGTTCGACGAAGAAGAAGAAGAGCTGCGAATCGAAGGACAACTCTCTTTCGAACGAGGGAAAAAAGAAGAAGGAAGAAACACGAAAACGTATATGCGAACGAAATGATTCGAATCCAGGATTCGAAGCGCTGATCTTCTTCTTCTCCTTCTTCTTCTTCCCTTTTCGAAACACTGTAATTCATCCGCGATAGTTCTAACGCTGGACGGATCTTTTATAATACCAGTGTAAAACCTGCAATAATAGGCCTTGCAGTGCCGCGAGATTTTCGTTGGTTTACCGTTTTCTGGCAACCGATCATTTACTCGATTATCGTACCGACCATGCATCCTTCAACTTTCACATTCCTTTGGAAGAACGCGATGCATCCTCGCGAATCTTCGAATCGAACGTATTCGACAACATCCATACAACAAACATTTACACGCGATAATATAACCATCCTCCACAATCTGTTCCGATCTCTTCTTCGAATTGCCAAAGAAATTCTCAATAAATCCTCTCTTAACCTCTCGATCCAAAAAAAAAAAAAAAAAAGAAAAGAAAAGAAAAGAAAAGAAAAGAAAAGAAAAATTCTCAGAATCGAAGAGACCGCCGCCCGTCTACATCTACGTCTACATCAATTTCGCAAGTCGAGAGAGGCAAAGAGAGGCGCGTAATTGCGAGTCGCGGTACTTTCGAGGTAGCAACGCGAGGCCAGGGTGAAAGGGAGGGGAGGGGAGGTAGGTTGCCGGTGGCAACGTGACCGCGATCAGCCAGCCGCGCTATTCAACCGCGCGCTATCCAATATTCGACAGGGACCCGGTGAGGTGTTGCGGTAATACACGATCGGCGGAGGAATGCCATTTGCCGGTGCTTGATTTATGCATTACAGAATATATATATATATAGCGGGAGACACCGCTGCCTCGTAGCCCGTGGGGGATTCGAGGGCGTGGATCGGGCCAACGTGAGTATTATTCAAAGTGTTGCTCATTTGGACACGTGGACGGGGAGGGGGGAGGGGGGGGGGGAAGGGGGAGGGAGTAAATCGGGCTTTGACCGTAGTCAACGACACGTGACGACACGTGCCACCGCGTTGCACATTTCGTGGTCCGCGCGTTCCAACGATCTCTCTCAACCTGATGGAAATCGCGGGAAACGGGATTTTTTTCGCGGGAGGGGAGTTCTTTGGAAAATTTATCTTGTATCTTTTTCACGGTCATTGTTCGAAGATCTATCGGAGAAGACGTGTCTTTTATTTTGCTACGCGTTTTCGTTTAAAGGTAATGAATTCTTTTAGCGAATTTTATCATTATAAGTAAAGTAAGAAGCAAAAAGTAAGAAGTAGTTAAAAAAGGAAATGATTTTGTTAGTTAGGAGAACAACCTTGGAAAATAAAAGAGGTTGATTGTTGATATTTATATTTTTCTTCTTCTTCTTCTTCTTCTTTTCTTCACTTAATCTAAATCTTATCTTAACTTTAATCCATATCTCGTATATTGCACAATTCACAGGTGTATTTATAACAGGTGTAATATTAAATCCGTGATCTCATCGCTAGTTTTTATATAAGTATGTAAATAATAAAATTGATTTCTTCCCGGACTCTGTTACTAAATGTAAAAATTCCTCTAAATTACAAACTTGGATCAATGTATCCAATTTACACACATATACATATATACATATATATATATATATATATATATATATATTTTCTATAAAATTTCCACTATGTAATAATATTGGATATCGCGATCCATTTTCAATAAAAAATAAACGAATAAATAATAGTTAATAGGAAACGAGGAGAAATCCAAAATGGATAACAGGTACCAACTAATTGGATACGTATATTCCGCGGATCGCGTTTTTTGCGCGAATTTCTTCAAAGGCGCGATCGTGTCGGTTTTGACGTTAATGGAACTGAACTCGATCTGTATACGAATCGGTGCGGAATAGGAAACGATCGAGTTTAAGATGGAACGCGGAAGAGACGCTTGACGGTTTCTTGCAATCCGATTCTTCCTCCTTGTTCTCCCGAGAATTACGTCAATTTACGTACACGCAAAGGAAAAAAGAAAAGAAGAAAAAAAAAAATAAAGTAACGATAATCAGAATCGGATCAAAACGTCAAATTTTTTTTTATATTCAATTCGATACGACGTTCTATTAACGTGAATTTAACGTGGTCACGTTCTCTGGCCTTCTAACGTCCTCCGTCGCGTTCTAGATCGTTTCCAAACCGTTTCCAAGCCGCCTTTCAACGAGGCCTCTCGTCGACAAAAGGCGCACTCGAGTTGCGCCACCAAATCGCTCGCTACCAGTTGCATGTTCGAGGACCGTCGAGCAAAGCACTCGAGCTTCGTGAAATGAAAATCTTTCTTCGATAGTGTATTTAACAGGGTCGAGTGCAGGGTCGAGTCTGATGGGTGGCCACGTAACGGGTGATCCGCAAGTATCGACACGAAGAAAGAAAAGGAGGAAATGTATTTATATTTTACGTTTGATTCCTCTACCTGATCGGTAGAAGGGAAACTCTGAATGCTTTTTTCGAAATTGCTTTCAAACGTATTATTTATAATTATATATTATTAAATCTTCTCAAATCCTTTTCCTTCGAATTATTGATTACGTTCTTTTCGTTGAATAATCTCGCGACCATATTGATACAAATCTTACAAGATGATACACTTCGAAAAAATCGTGACAAGAATTAAACAAGAATTCAAGTTTACTTAAAATCCATTTGTAATAACAAGTAACGAGTGGGATCGCTCGAGGCTAGGCCACGGTCCCTCCTCTCCATTCGAAGAGATCGCCGAGAGCAGGAACTCGCGGGGACACCCCGTACACACGCGCGAGGAACGCACGATTCTTCATTCTCCGCGTTGGCCATTTATGGGTGGCGTGCCACTTGACAGGACGCACGGCGTCACGGGGTAATCAAAGTGCCATTATCCATGGGAAATTGTAACCCCCGATCTCTCCAACCCCTCCAACTCCTTTGCCACGTCGTATTCAGTATCGCGCGATACTTTTCTCTTTCTATCCCGAGACCGTAACCGACTACGACCCCTCCTCGAATCCTCGTCGCACCTATGTATATACATGTATGTATATACATATACACACACATATATATATATATATATGTACACACACGTTCGATACCAGCGGTGGTATACGTAAGGGGTGGTCGTTACGCAAACCTCTGCCTAACCCTCTTGTAACGCGCGTTACACGGTCTGGCCGAGCGAGGGTCGACGAGTGTCAAAGCGGAGTCAACCGGTGAAAAATGGCCCCGACTTGTCACGAAGGATTCGTAAGTAATCGTAATTCTTATCGGCTTAGGGAAACTACCTGGGCCTTGGTGTGTAATTGTAATTGTTCCCGTGACGCATCGTTAATCTATCACTCGTGTACGTACGATTGTAAAACGAGGTAAAACATCGGTTTACGGTTCTATCGGTTATTAAATAGATTTTTGCCGCGCTCGATAAGATTCGTTGTATTGCAAAGGCAATTTCTTATATAGTTTACGCTCCACCTAACTTGTAATAAATAGATGTGCTTAGGCGTAATCGGAGCCCATTAAAAAAAGATTGTTGTAATTATCCTTCGTCACCGAGAACATAGGTTTATTTAACCGTGTATCGAACGAGATTGCGAGAAAAAACTTATTTTCGTTCCCAGCATTATCTGGTCGCCAATAAAATCTTTTCCCAACCGTGTCTCCTTAATCCTCGATCGCGTGGAAAAATCCGTGGCCGTGGAAAATGAGTTTTGGATAATCGATAGTTGGCTCCCCTTGATATTTAACCCCGTAATTAGCGGGATGTCACCCGCCGCTATTCCCAAGCGAGGCCGCGTCTGGTCGCGCCGAATCCTCGTGTTTCACGGGTGACGGAAGCGCGGTGGAACCGACATGGTTCCCCTCCCTCCCCGCCACCGCGAGTAAAAGTATTCGAGAGGGTGGAGGAGGTGGTTACGAGAGAGAGAGAGAGAGAGAGAGAGAGAGTGGCGAACCGGTTCGCAGCCTCCGTTGCAACCCCTCCGCTGGGGGTTTCCGCGGTAGCGTGATTTTCTGATTAGCAGCGGGTCGACTGGTTGCGGTTAACCGTTGTTAGGTTACCGGTCAATTGGTATGCATGGGCTGGGACTCGTGCCCACGGTACAGCCCCTGAACCCGGCTAACCTCCTCTCCCTCCTACGCCACCGACTAACGGCCGCACACCGTGCTATGTCTACTTCGCCACCTCCTCGATCGTTGGACCTAGATCGTTTCCACGTTGCGGTTTCCACGCCACTTTTTTTCTCTCTCTCTCTCTCTATCGGCCTAAAATTTTCTCCGCCGAATTTCGGTGCTCGGCTGGGGGGAGAGGAGGTGGAATGGATGAATATTCCTTGGGGAGGGAGGCTGGTATAATTTTATATATATAGTTCGATAAGTATAGGCGTATGGATAATGTAATGAAAGAGAAACGTGAATTTGGGAAAAGATGTTGAGAAAAATTGACGTAGAAAAGTAAATCGAGGTTTAATAAGTATTGTATTTCTGTCATGATTGTAATCACTCGTTTTCGATGTTTCCAGGTCGCTCGAGTTTCGGCCTCCCTTCCAAGCTCGTCCATGGAGGGAATAACGTGTCCAGTGTTTCGAAGGCCCTTGAAATTTTCTTGGCGAACGCACCCTTTCTTCGCGTGGACTGCGAAGTGAGCGCCGGTCCCACGACCGACGAGGAATCGACACTCGCATCGGTTACGTTTCGAGGGTGCGATCTCCCCTCGAGTTTTTCGAGAGGAGAGGAGGAGGGGCGTGCAATGGTCGAGAGCCTCCTTGACAAGGTATTACGTCCGTGGGTAATAGATTTACGACGTGGAGAAAGGCCATTCGATACTATTGCGTGATGTATTTTGCGGGAAGGTTCTTCAACCTTCAATTGGTGACGTAACTTTTACCTTAGTTGTCGCCTTAATCTCGTCAATTTATTCGTTATTTTGAAACGGAAAAAAAGTTAAGAAAAGATTCCAAGATACATACTCGCTTTTACTGTTAAAACGTAATCAACAACTTAGATTGAAATCTAAGTTTAACGATGACGTGAATATCGGGGATGAGGTTAAAAACAAGCAGTTTTAAGCTCAAACTGTAAAGAAGAAGAAGAAAAATCTGACAGATGATCGACGATAATTGTTTAATTGTAAGGAACGACGAGGAAGCAAAGATCAAACGTTTCAAAGTTTCTCTCCCTTCTTTATCCCCTGATCCAACCCCTGGAGGAAAGCAGCAACGACTTTTAAAACGCAATTTAAAACGCCGTTGCTGCCGCTTTTGTGAAAATAATCAAGCACTCTCCGTGCTCCAGTGTCCCAGGTGATTCGATCGGTTCCTCGGATCGTGGAACTTTTTAAACCGGCGTCCGGCTTACAGAAGGGGGAGGAGAGAGGAGCCGTGGAAAGGGATTTTCCAAGGCAAGGAAAAGCGGCGCGATCGGGCGGGAGTTTAAATTAGATTTCGTACTTCCGAGACGCTACAAGAACCTTAAAAGAGGAGGTAAGCGTGGACAAACGTCCTCCATTTTATCAGAGCTAGCAGAGAGTTTCTTAGTTTCTCCACTCTATTCCTTTCCCTCGAACGTTTCACTCTGTGAAGAAAGATCTTTTAAGGATATCTTTTAAATTTTTTTTTTTTTTTTTTTTTTTTTCACGACTCTGTTCACCGTAGTTATTGGTATAGTTTACGAAATAGCTTTGATCGTTTACTAGTTTTTCGTATACCTTTTGTTTTTCAATTCAAACGAGAAGATTTTAAGTTGAAATTTGATTATGAATTAAGATTTCTTTTCTTAGTATTTCATTTGTGCAGTTATAACGAAACAATGAATTATCCGATGCGACGACGAGATAACGATAAATATTTAAATATCCCTCTCAATTTCGAGTGAATATTTTATGTTAATATATTTAATAGCTGTTCATAATTTAATATCGAACCAATTAATCTCCCTATTTAAATTTTTTTTAACCCTTAAAACTTTCTTCTTCAAAAGAAAAAAAAAAAAAAGAATGTAATAAAAATGACATTTGAAATTAAATTTCGTGATAAGCTGAATTTATCCAAACATCCTTTGCATACACTAATTACAAATCCCTTCCTCTAATAAAATATTTACCTCGCTATTTCACTAAAAGGGATTCTGTAACGTTTACTTACTAACGTTATCGAACTTTTTCTCGTCGTTCCCGATAGAAATTCGAACGAGGGGGAGGGGTAAAAGAAGCGCGTTCTCTCTATATAGGGGGAGGGGGGGAAAAAAAATGAGGGAAGCACAGAACAGGCGTACGCAGAGAAAAGTTTTCGCCAAACCGGATACAAGGAAGTTCTACCGTATTCGCGCATCCGGTGCTATAAATCTCGGTCTCTTCCCGCCTTCTCGTGCCCGCTGGCCAAGTCACCGAGCCCTCACTCTGTCCGACGAATAAATTTGCGATCAAACCTTTTTCCAGTTCACCGTCTTTCTCGATCAATCGGTCGGTTCTATCGATTTTTCAGCGACGAGGAATCGTGTTCGTGATCGACAGCCGCATAACAGAACACTTGATCCGTCGAATCTGTCGATATTTTCTACTTTACCGATCGATCTATATTGTGGAAATATATATATATATAGATAGAATTTCTTAAAGATCAGACAAGTTGAAATTAAAGTATATCGGTTTAAATAGTTATGTTTGTGTTAAGATTGTGTGATAAAAGTAATTTTAAAGAGTGATTATGATAATGATAAATTGTCAATGTTTCAGGTTCCGGTAGATACAACAGACAGTGGATCATTGGATCGTGCAATGGATTTCTGCAATACCAACCGATCACTTTTTTAAATCAGTGATATTCTCATTCCATGAAGAGAGAAGAAGATGCGTTATGAATTATATTTCATAAGGATATTAGAATAATTGTTCTATGACAAATTATAAAAATTATTAATTATTTTTAATTTTTCTCGCCTTATGTGAAAAAGAAGAGGCATAAGATATTTTTAAATACAATATACACAAAAAAAAAGGATTGCAACAATGATAGATGATCTTGTTAATCATGTATATTTTTCCTGCGATTTTTTTCTACTCGATTATTAACACGTAAAAAGAAATTATAATCGTTCGATAATCCTATCAAAACTTTTTCCTCGAGCGGATTTTCCGCTTAGACAACGGAACAAGACGAGTATTTATGAGTTATTGATGACAACGGACGCTTTCAGAATCTTAGAGGATCGTATAATAACGTAATTAACGACGCGTTGACAAATTGAATCGGCGGCGAATATATTCTTTTCATCGTGGCTGTACCCTGGTGCTCTCGCCATAAATATTTCATGGCGGTCGGGCGTCCCCGTGTCCGTGGAAAATCGTAGAACGTTCAATGATCATCCCCCAGCCGCCACTACACACCCTCGAAAAATCTTCACGAGGAAGCCATGAAGAACCGATAATCTTCCATCGATCAGTATCAGAGAGGATAGAAGGAAGCGTTTCTCGAAAATGGAAATCTTCTTTAGGGGAAAAAATGAATTAACAGTGTAACAGGCATGAAAGATTTGTCTCTAAATATACGAATAGATTCCAGGCCTATCGTAAAATCGAATCGCAGCGACAACTTTTTTTTCCTTCAATTGATTTAATTTATTCATTAACGAATAAAGAAATTGTTTTAGAGCACAAAGAGAGAGATTATAATTAAGAGATATGATGTTTTTTAAAATTCCGTCTAACATGGCATAAAAGAAGTTAATAAATTATATATTGTTGTTTCATATTGATGAAAAAATAGAAATATCACATATGATACATTCTCAATTTATTTAACTATTATATAGACAAAGAATGTTTCTTCGAAAAGATTGAGAAACACTGCCTTGGAATGAACATTAAATAAATCAAATTAAATCAAATTTTATAACGCTCAAAATTTTATCAATTCTATTATAAATTGCCAAGAAACCATACTTTATTTCTACAACAACCTAATAATATTATTCATGTAGATATTTCAACATGAATATTCCATTTCAACTCCCCCGCTCCAGAAAAAACCTCTTCGGTGGCAAATTCTCTTCGATGCTTGTCAAATTTCAAAGTAACGCCGAATCTCGATCTCGAAGAACGGGGTTTAGATAAGCGCCCCCTACAGGAAGCCATTAACCGGAGAGAACGGCGTGAAAAGCAAGGAGAATATTAGAGCGATCCGGCGATTGGCTCCGATGCAATTTCGCACGGTACAGTGGCGGCACGTTGGGCGAAGGTGTTAAATTCACTGGATGTACGTCGGACGAGCCATTCTGGGGTAGCCGACAAATCCGATCGTATTTTCATCGACGCCAAATTGGCAATATCCTCGCCGGTGACGATTCCTGAATTATGCATCAGCCACGGGGACAGTCGCTTCGCTTCGCTTCGAAGTTTATCCATCCCGCTCGTTTCCATCCGCAGCCTCGACCCGTTCGACTCACTTCCACAAGGGGTAGAATTTTCTGCCCTCGCAGCTTCCACCCTCGCGACCACCCCCGACCCGAAACACCCTCCGCCGCCTTCTCCGCCGCCTCTGCCATCCACCCACTCCTCCTCCTCCTCCTCCTCTTCCTCCTCCTCCTCTTGCACCGTTTCCTCCTGCACCGCTTTTCACCCCACTGTTCTCGATCTCGCTCGCTCTCCCTTCCTTCGGGCCCTTTCTCCAATGGAAACGTCACTTATTGGTCGAACGAAAGGGAGGAAAAAGAGAGGACACCCTCGAATCCGACCAATCACGGTGAACGTCCGTGATAATGCTCGCGATATTTGCCCGTGGTACAGCCATCGGCAAAAGTGTCGTCTTGTTTTCCAAGAGATCGCGTACGATCGAGAGGATTCATTGGAAGAAATTTTGACCATTGTTTTGTTGGCCACTTTTAACGTTATTTACACGATAACAATTTTAGAAGGGAAATTGATTGATAGAACGATCATTAAATTGTAGATTGTAGTATTCACTGATTCAATGAATAGAATCATCATGAATGGAATCAAAAGTGGAATGTTTTTAAATGAATTAAATTACACGTACCGCTTACAAGACTTTTATCATATTTTCTCTCATATATTTGATCTATCGTATATGTGATTTGTAGATACAATCTGGATATTCATGGTGGATATAATGAAGTTATAACCATACAAAGTTTGTAAAGTTATAATTATAATAAACGATATAATACAATATAATAAATAAATTAAATATAAATAAAATGAATAAAATGAAAAAAATGAAATAAATTCAAAATAGCAAAAGTTACAAAATATAATTATTATTGCATATTGTACAATCATGATTGCTACTGTATTCTTTTATCAATGCATAAGAAATCTTTGATCTGTTGATTAAATTAAAAAAAAAAAAAAAAAAAAAAAAAAAACTAAATAGAAAACGAAAAAATGGATCGTTAATTATTCGTTTTCGCGAACGAGCAAAAAATATGTAATGGCGGATCTCGAACGTACAAGAAAGAGATACCCACTGGATGATAATCGAATCGAGCGTTTGGAAACAGCCCTTAAGCCTTTACGATAGGGAGACAAACAATGGAAGGTAAAAGTAAAGCGTCGTTCTTGGAATGGAGGGGCTGCACACCCCAATAATAAAATGATAAGAACCCCGATGTATCCTTTTCCCTTTCTCTACATCCCTGTTTCACCCCTCTATCTATCGTTTCCTCTGTCCGGACCCGACTCGTATATAAATGTCGATATTATTGTAACGAACCGCTTTTGATGGCAATTTCTCCTTCCGCGCTGTCTATTGCTCAGACGAGCCCACGCGATCGGACACTCGCAAATTCGTTGAATCGACCGAGGAATTTATGGTTTCCGCGTCGTGTGCGTGACAGAAAGAACCACCAAAGCGACGCGTCGAGATATCTCGATTCGATGTTTCGTCACTCATTTGCCGGTCTATATCTATATCTTTTCGCTTGTTTTTTTTGTTACGTTATAATTGAAAAATTTAAATTTAATGTTTCGTGTAAAAACTTACCAATCGATGTTGAGTTGCTTATCGAATCCCATTTGTTATTACATTTGGTATTCTACTTCTTCGTAATAATAATCAGTTTCACTTCATTTGAATAAAAATATAATTTTTTCAAAATTTAATTACCGATACAAGCAAGAATTTTAACTACAACTGGATTTATTGACGTATGATATATATGTTTGTACAATTTGTCTTTGGTCTCGTTAGCGGAACTTTCACCTTGCGATTAGAGTACGTGGAAATTTTGATCGAATCACATAAGATAAATATTCAAAAATTCTGTTGCTGCGTTTTCCCGAGCCTATCCCTTTTCTCTTCCTCTTCGTATCCCTCTTCCTCTTCGTTCTCCGCAAAAATCAATCGGTAAATCCCTTAACTCACAAGGTCTATACAAATTTAGACTTGGACTTCTTTAAAAAAATCTAATCGAATGTATATCGAGTGTCGCGTGACCCAACAAAGCTCGTTTCGTTGTCGTTCGAATCGGAAAAGGTTAATGTTTCGAATGCTCGGTCCGAAAAAAACAGAGAGAGGTTAGGAAACAGGCGAAAAATTTTTCGAGACGTCTGCCACGTTCCACGACGGCTTTTCACCTTTCTCACGATTGTCGGGCCTTTACGTGACAAGACTCGGCAGCACAACGAATGAATTTAAGACGAAAGCGCGACGTCAGGTACACGACAAAGAATATACACGAACAGGTCGACTCGTTCGCCCTCTGCATCCCGTTCCACGGATCGTTGGAGTGGGTTCACAAAGATGAGACGTCGTGTTGGATAATTTCGATTGGTGCTCGACCAATCCTTGGATCGAGAGCTGACGAACGAAACGACCGAAAATATCGTTGACGACTATCGATCCGTGAAAGGAAATATCAATTTCTGATAGACCTCATGAGAAATTGCAATTCTGTACATCTTTATGTACATCTGATGTCCATATGGAAATTCTCTCTCTCTGAAAATTAAAATATTAAATAATTAATATTAATAATATTATTAATTCAGTATCCAATATGATTTAAGTTGTCATCCATATAGTCGCCTCGCCATAAGTTCAGCATTTTAATTCCTTAATTTATCAACAGGGGGCAATTTTCAGAATTTTCTTTACGAAACAAAAAGTGTGAACGAAATTTTTATCTTATATGTGTTTATCATAAGAAAAATTTTAATGAAATACAAAAAAAATTCAAAATATTTAAGTGTCAAATATCTAAGTATTTATGCATTATGGAATAAAAGTATTATTCCATAGAATATTAAACAGTTATTATAAGAAATTTCTTGGAGGTTAGATAGTTAATAAAATAACAACTCGACTTGTTGAAATATAAAACAAAATCCAAAAAAAATTATTTTAAAAAATTAATGTTAAATCTACAATAATAATATATGTGCCAATGAATATCAATCTTAAATAAAATCCACTCAACGTATCATATTTGTTTGAATAGTGTAAGTAATAAAAATTATTTTAAAATATTCATTTTACGTGATTTTTGGTTGCTACTAACAATATGTATTCAATTTGTAACATATCATTGATCATCAAATATGTATCATATCATCGTATATCTTTAATGTCTTCGTATCATATATTAATGTATCAAACATGATGTAACATTTATTTTTCGTTGATACAAGAATACGTACGATAATACATATACAAATAGATACGCTCGATAATAGAACAAATCATTTCACTATTCATAGTAATATGCATCATATGATGAATGGTAAAGTAAAAATAGCAAAATATTCTTACCTATGGTTTCTTCTTCTTCTTCTTTCTCTTGTCCATATCGCAGGTCGGCTTCCTCTTACAAATCGGATCGAATTGACATAAAATAGATTCTTGGCAAACGTATTTTTCCTTCTTCGGACATGGTGGAAATTTAGGCTTGGCTAATTTTGGCTTCTTAAAATC